TTAACTTTAAGAATCTTGAGATGGGGAGATTGTATCCGGGATTGAACTGGTGGGCCTGATGCAATCATGCAGGTCCTTCTAAGAGGGAAGGAGGAGTCCGAATTCAGAGAGAAGGGTGTGTGACGTAGGAATCAGAGATCGGAATGATAGAGCCACCATCTAAGGAGCCAAGAGATGCGGGCAGCCCCGAGAAGCTGGAAGAGGCCAAGAATGAGTTCTCCCCTGGAGACTCCAGCCCTGCTGACTTCTTGACTTTAGACAAGCGAGGATGATTTTGGACTTCTAATTTCCAGAACTGTGAGATAATAAATTTGTGTTTCTTGAGTGACAAGGTAGTTTGTTACAGCAGTAATAGGAAACTGATACACATGGCTACAATGTTATGTATAAAAATGTAATCAAACCAGCTACATCCACCAAATCAAGCCTGCTGTCTTTTCCCTTATGGTCTGCAAGCTCTATATTTTTAAATGGTGCAAAAATGATCCAAAGGAGAATAATATTTAATAATATTTCACAACACATAAACACTATGATATTCAAATTTCAGCATCCCTGAAGTTTCACTGGGACACAGCCATGCTCTTTCATTAATGTATTGCCCATGGCCGCTTCTGTGCTATAATGGCAGAGTTGAGTAGCTGTGACAGAGACTGTATGTGGTGCTCTCATCCCTTCAAGCTGTTGGTTGGTTCACTACAAATCCCAGTGACACACACCTTACAATTCAATAGCATTTTCAGTGTCACCATATTGTGGCATGTAAAAAAATGAAAGTGCATATCTGTCATGTCAGAACAAGAAAATAAAAGTGAATTTTGAATATCATACTTTTAAGTGTAGATTATTTGGTTATCAAATTAGCTGTCAAACAAAGCATTGTGTTTATTACACGGTGATGCTCTAGCACTGCTAAAAAAATACAATGTACGTGGCCATTACCAAACTAGCCACACATCACAATGTTCCCAGCTCACAGGAAAGCAATGATTAGAAAAATTAGAAGGTTTAAAATGGAATAATTATTATAGTAGACTTTTTCACACAAAAAAAAGGAAGAAGAAAGAAAATGCAACTGTGGTCAAAGTGAGTTTCTGAGTGGCTCATTTTTTAGCCAAGGAAGGAAGGAAAGCCATTTACTGATGGTACATTAATTAAGTTGTGTTTGATTTCAGAAGCCAGAGAAATGTGTCCAGGGAAAGTGAACTCTTCAAAAACGATTAGCCTTTCAACAAGAGCAGAGACACAAAGAGTTAAGGACATTGGAAGTAGCATCAATAGTCATTTTTAAAAAATGGGGCAAATAATTTCCAGTGGTGTTCCTTGGGTCTTGATGAATTCACAGATGTTACCAATACTGTTCAGTTGTTTCCTCAGAGTCAACACTGAGTTTAAAGTGATGGAAGAATTGGCCTGTGTAAATAGTTTGTGAGAAAAAACTGCAGATGAGAATATTTCCAAAGAAGTCAAGAAATGCTAGTTCAATACAACTCGAAGTAGAATTGGCTGATGTGTGTTACAAATATGTATGAAGAAGAAAGGACAAATATACAAAGCTTGGGAAAATGTAAGTTTAAATATCATGGTTGTTCATTTCATTATTAAACAGCAGATACTTTGCAGGAAAATATTTGACTCTCTCTTGTGTTATTCAACCATTAGTGTCAACAATGTATTTCACCCACTTTGATAGACTAAATCATTGTCAGTTTTATGAATTTTTGTCAGAAGTAGAGGCTGAATATTCTGACTTAGCCTAGTAACAGCAGTTCATTAGCTTAGCAGTTCTCTTTTTAAAAGTTATTTTAAAGCTCAGGGCCAAGATTGGAAATTTTCTGAATGAGAAAATTCACCCTCAACCACTATTACTGAACGCTGAATGGTTTTTGAAATTAGCTTCTACTTTAGATTTGGTAACGTTACTTAGTGTACTTAGCCTAAAATTACAAGGCCAAACTCTGCTTATATGTGAAACTTATACTACAGGAAATTTATTTCAATGACAACTAACATTGTTTGAATCACATGTAATGTGAAGTTACTTTAATCACTTCCTGTGCTGTAAAAAGTTAAAACAAAATGAGGATTTGCATTCCCACACAAATTTGCAGTGGCTGTATTTTCTGAGCTCAAATTACAGTCACAGTGGCATCTTTTGGACCTTGATGCAAAGTGCAAAGGAAATTTCTATGTTTCAACATTCATTTGTGCATTTGAGGAACTTCCACCTAAATTTTAATTGGAAATGATTACTTTGCAACATAATGACATGCTAAAAGGCAAATATTAAGAGAAGAATCTAATTGAATTTTCTAAATGCCTTCTAAGGGATGAATATGCTCAATTAAAATCAGTTGCTTGTGGATTGATATCAGTATTAGGCAGCACTTATCTGTGTTAATTTTTTTAGAGATGAAACACACAAACTCTCACTACAGATAAACATTAACAGATGAATATTTGCTATTTATTTATTTATTTATTTAGTTAGTTAGTTAGTTAGTTAGTTATTTTAGAGGAGAAGGGAGAGAAAAAGAGAGGGAGAAAAACATCAATGTGTGGTTGTCTCTCACACCCCTCCCCCAACTGGGGACCTGGCCACAACCCAGGCATGTACCCTGACTGGGAATTGAACCAGCGACACCTGTTCACAGGCCAGTGCTCAATACACTGAGCCATACCAGCCAGGGCTGCAATTTACTTTTTTTAAAAGTTATTTAAGGCCTTTATTAATAGGTACATGCATTTGACTTTAAAAAATCAAGTTGTAAACTTATTACAAAGTAATAATGAGGTTCTTAAAAATGTCAAATTAATCCTATATAAAACAATTTTAAAGTCATTGAAGGTGTATTGAGATTGTAGCTGATTTTGATGATAGGGAACATTCACTTTGAACCCTAGTTAAGTGAGATGTTATCCCTCCATCAAACAATGCCATTCTTCTCATTAGTAGACCTGTATTACATATATATATATATATATATATATATATATATATATACTTGATTATTATATTTTGAATTTCATCAATAAATATTTGTGGAACTATGTTTTCTCCCTTGTTATACTAGTACCTACCTAATGTTCTTGATGTTACCTCTTGGCCCTAAAAACCCAAAACATTTATTCTCTATCCCTTTTCAGGAAAAGTTTACCCACTTCTGCACTAGACTAAGCCACATGAGTGAGTGAGACTATTTATAATTGATGACTACAGTAGAAGATCAATAAATACTGAATAACATAGAATCATAGGGATGACATTGGACTAAGATGTAGGAGTAAATACTGTGATTCTTTAAGACATGCATTGATATGTCTTTTATACTTTATTTAACTCATGTTTGTTTGAGGGCTAGCAGATCGCTTTAAATTCCCATCCATTTACATCTTCTGTATCTTGAACACAAAACTTCTTCCAGCCAACCAGTTAATTTTCTAGTAGTAAGCTCCTGCTATCTTCAGTAAATTCTCTTAAAAATCCACTATTTTGTCATCATCACTTGGATTATTGAAGGCATTCAATGTAAACTGTCTCACTGTCCTTATTCTGGATGGCTCCAGGATTCTGTCCTCCACAAAAAGTATTCTGAGAGAGTTTCTGGGTTGGGGAAAGGAAAGACGGAAGACGTTCCCTTATACCTGTGGCAAACAGTATCATTAAGATATGTCTGCTTGCAAATCATTTATATGACTAGAGTCTAGTATCCAAGATATATAACAACTTATGCAATTCAACAACAAAATGAGAAATAACCCAATTAAAAACGGGCAAAGGATTTGAATAGACATTTCTTCAAAGAAGATATATAAATGATAAATACACATCAAAAGTACTCAACGTCCCTAGGCATCAGGGAAAGGGAAATCAAAACCACAATGAGCTACCACTTCACACCCACCAGGATGGCCATGATCAGAAAGACAGACATAAATAATTATTGGTGAAGAAGTGAAGAAATCAGAAGCCCCCTATAGATACATTCCTGGTAGGCATGGTAAAGCTACTTTGGAAAACACTCTTGGCAGTTCCTCAAAAGGTTAAACATCAAGTTACTATATGACCCAGCAATTCCACTCCTAAGTATATACCAAAGAGAACTAAAAGCATATGTCCTTACAAAAACTTGTACACCAGTGTTCATAGCAGCGTCAGTCATATGCAAAAACTAGCAACAGTGCAAATGTCCATCAACTGATGAATGAAGAAACAAAATGTGGTATATTCATACAACAAAATATTATTCAGCTATAAAAAGGAATGAAATTCCATTTTATTGATTCATCACTACTTTTTACTGAAAGCATTACAGTATATTAAGTGAAAGAAGCCAGACTCCAACAGCCACATATTGTATTATTTCATTCACATGAAATGTCCACAAGAGGCAAACCCATAGAAACCAAAAGTAAATGAGGGTTGCCGGGGTCCTGGAAAGAGGTGTGGAGTGACTGCTAATCAAATGGGATTTCTTTTTGGGATGATGAAAATTTCTGAAATTAGATAACAGTGATGATTGTACTATTTGTGAATATACTAAAAAAGAAAAAAGAAAAGAAACCCACTGAATCGCACACTTTATATTTTACATTATGCGAATTATATCTCAGCTTAAAAAAGATGTCTCAACTTCATTAGGTACTCATCCTGAATACAGCCATTAAAATCACAGAGGCACACCTAAAATCTGTATTAAGCCTATTGGTTAAATATAGTTCTTTATTTTATCCGATTTTATATACAAATATATAGGCATATACATACGCATACATGGAAAGAAATAGAAATAATTTAAATAAGGTTAAAGGTGTTCCAAGTAAAACCGTCACAGTTAACGGCCAAGGCAAAGGAGGTTCTGGGAGGCTCTGGACGCCCCCGAACTTATTAGCCTAATGAGACAGCCCGGAAGTCCGCGTGACAGCTACTGACAGCAGCTTAGCTGTTACAGTAGGGGATAGGTTCGACGCGCGTCTGTGACGTCACTTCTGCGCGACCCTCAGTTTTGGCGTTTGGCGTTTTCTAGGTGTCACCTGTGAACCATGCCTAAAGTTGTGTCCCGGTCAGTTGTCTGTTCCGACACTCGGGACCGGGAGGAGTATGACGACGGCGAGAAGCCCCTCCACGTCTACTACTGTTTGTGCGGCCAGATGGTTCTCGTGCTGGGTATGTAGTGGGGAGCTGGTGGGCGGCCCAGGGCGCTGCAAGGAGCAAACTTCCGGTTCTTCAGTACAGTTTTTCTCAGGCTGTGTGATCTGGGAGCCACATCTATTTGAAGATTAGTGGGCTTTCCCTCTGCATCAACATCCTCCCTACACGTCTGTTAACCTTGTAACTCTATATCCAGACCCCCCTCCTTAAAACTAATTTCTCTTTCAGAAACAGTACACCTTATTTCCCCTCCTCTCACTCCGCTTCCGGATACCCCAGTAGCTCTTATCGTCAATGAAAATAAAATCCTTCCTTGATCCTACGTTCTCCTCCAACTATAACCCCATTTCTTTGCTTTTTAAAAAATAGCAAACTTTTCGCCCTGGCTGGTGTAGCTCAGTGGATTGAGCACAGGCCTGTGTGTTCGATTCCCAATCAGGGCACATGCCTGGGTTGCCCGCCAGGTCCCCAGTAGGGGACACATGAGAGGCAACCACACATTGATGTTTCTCTCCCACTCTTTCTCCTTCCCTTCCCCTCTCTCTAAAAATAAATAATAAATAAATAAATAAATAAATAGCAAACTTCTAAAAAGGCTTGCCTGTATTGGCTGTTTCTGCATCCTCACTTGCCACTTGACCTCACTTGAGACAGGCCTTCCTTCCCACCTCGCCATCTAAACCACATTTGTCAACGTTAATAACTGAACATATTACCAGTTCCAGTGGTCATTTTAGTCCCCATTCTCAGCAGCATTTGACAGAGATGAGCACTCCATCCTTCTTGAAACAGTTTTTTCGTTTGCTTCCATGACTCCCCGCTCTCTTGATTTTCTCCTACCTCCATTTTGCCCCTTCTCAGTGTCTGGTTCCTTTTTCTGTCTCAAACTTAGGCCTTGCAAGGCCCTAGGACTCAGTCCTGTCACCTGTTCTCAATCTGTACTCACTCCCTAAGTGATCTCATCCATTCCCAAGCTTTAAATACCATTCTACAGGGTGTATGTAACAGAGCTGGGACTAAAATCCAGGTCTCCTGACACAAAGTCACTTTTAGTTGGAAAATTCAACGATAGGTTTCAATAAGTATAGTTATTATAGTAAAAATTTTGGTGCTAGGCCCCCCACCCCCAAAAACTTCTGATTGCCTCAGGGTAATTTTCAGTGACTCTAATAATCAAATCTTTCTCCATTACTTCAGACTGTCAGTTAGAGAAATTGCCGATGAGGCCCCGGGATCGGTCCCGGGTGATTGATGCTGCCAAACATGCCCACAAGTTCTGTAACACAGAAGACGAGGAAACTATGTATCTTCGCAGGTAAGAGGTTGATATTCTCTGTATGGGATTTTCTTATTGTGTTTGGGCCTAGTTCTGAGACTATAAATACTCTATCTAGTGTCAAAAAGGTTATCCATTTGGGCCCAAAACAGTGATGTTCGCGGTAGATCTCTAACTTCTGTTAATGCAGCAGTATCTTTGTTGTGTTTTGTTGAAATGGTGCTGGGATGCGATTCTATTGCCATTTGAGAGCTGTAATTTGGGGGATTTTTTTTTCAAGTAGAATGAGGTCATTCAACCTGTAATGTCTTGGAGCATGTTATGTACAGGCACTGATTTAGGGACTGCATCTGCGAAGATGAATAAAGTGCCATCCTTACCATTAAATAGTGCATGGCTCAGTGAGGGAACAGGCTACCTTTAATGATATGATGAAATACTGGTGTACTGAACAAAAGACTATGGGAAAACAGATAGGAGTGGCTCACCCTGCCTGAATGGTGGTCAGGAGAAGTAGAAATAGATGGTGACTTTGTGTTTGGCCTTGAACTAGGATTTCACAAAGTAGATGAGGGGAATGAGAAGCATTCCAGATGGAGGGAATATGGAAACGTTAAATGCATCAAATATGTATGCTTTGGAAATTTGAGTAGGGTTTTTTTTTTCCACTAGAACCCAGGGCACCCTACTGGAATCCTGGGGTGAGGACAATAAAATGCTGAAGTGGGCCAGTTCAGATCTGTAGGCAATAACCATCTCCTTTTTTAAATCAGAGGAGTGATATGGGTAGATCTCTTGTAGATTTGGGAGTCCTTGGTGTATGTGGAGAATTGAAGCCTGGGAAGGGATAAAATTACATGGAAAGATTGTGGAGGAAAAAAAAAAGAGAGGATTGAAGATACAATCCTGGGAAGCACTCGCATTTAAAAACCAGACAGAGTAACTGGAACAGAACCAGCAGAACCTGGTGGTGTGGAAAACAGGAGAGGACAGAGTTTTAAGAAGTGCGTGTGCATGGCCATCAACAGGTGCTGGATGCCAGAGAGAGGTTAATTCTAGAGAATTTAAAAGTCCATCCCCCTGGCTGGTATAGCTCAGTGGATTGAGTGTGGGCCTGCAAATCAAAGGATCACAGTTCGATTCCCAGTCAGGGCACATGCCTGAGTTGCAGGCCGGTTCCCATTAGGGGACACACGAGAGGCAACCATACATTGATATTTCTCTCCCTCTCTCCTTCCCTTCCCCTCTAAAGATAAATAAATAAAATCTTTAAAAAAAAAGTCCGTCCATCTAGCCATTCATTCATCAAATATTTCATTTTTTTTTATCTCTTACCTACCAAGTGCCATGTACTGCCCTAGAAACTTGGGATATTCTAGTAGATTAGTTTGCTAAACTGGGTGGCTTAAAACAATACAAATTAATTGTTTTGCAGTTCTGGTGGCTCGAAGTCTGAAATTAAGGTGTCAGCAGAGCCATGCTCACTCTCTGAAGGTTCTAGGGCAGAATCCTTCCTTGCCCCTTCCTAGCTTCTGGTGTTTTCTAGCCATCCTTGGCATTTCTTGGCTTGTAGATACATCACTGTGATACCCGTCTGCATCATCATACGGGCTTCCCTCTGGGTCTCTGTCTCTGCTTCTTCTGTTCTCCTAAGGGCACCAGTCATATCGGAGTAGGGCACATTCTACTCATCTGCATGACCTCATCTTAATTAATTACATCTTCAACAACCCTTTTTTCAAATGGGGCCACATCCTGAGGGTCCTGGAAGGATATTCCTTTTTTTTTAAAGATTTTTATTTATTTATCTTTAAAGGGGAAGGGAAGGAGAGAGGGAGAGAAACATCAATGTATGGTTGCCTTTCCTGCGTCCCTTGCTGAGAACTGGCCTGCTGGGAACTGGTCTGCAACCCCGGTATGTGCCCTGACTGGGAATTGAACCGCAATTGTCTGGTTCGCAGGCCCGCGCTCAATCCACTGAGCTACACCAGCCAGGGCAAGGATATTCCTTTTTAAAGGGTCACTGTCCAACCCAGTACAACCAGTAAACAAGCAAGGACCCTGCCCTTGTGAAGCTTACATTTGAGTGTCAAACTAGAGAAAGCTACAGGCTGGTATCTATCGATGTTTATTTAAGAAACCAAACTGGTATCAGCCCACACTAATGAAAAAAGTTATTAACCACTGCTAGGGGACATTCAGTAGGAAATCAAGCACTAGTGTGACAACTGGGCTTCCAGAATTGTGCAGTTGAAGATGATTTTGGTTATATACCAGATACACCCAGGGGCACAAATTGTAAGGAAACTTATGATATTCACAGGCAATATCAGAGGAACACTTCGTTATGGTGCATAGAAAGGTTTATAAATGACATGCCCTATCTAAAGCTAATTCCTTCTCGTGCTTTTTCTCCCTCTATTAATCTTTATTTCGGTTTCTAATTCTGAAAATTATTAACTATATTTAGGATCAAGAGGGGAGAGGGAAGGGAACTTAAGGGGAAAAGGGGGGAGGGATTTGGAGGAACAAGTATGAAAGACACAGAGATGAGGACTGGGGGGGGGGGAAATGAGAGGGAGGGGGGAGACCGGGCAGGGGGGTGGGGTGGGATGGGAGAAATAGATTAAAAAAAAATGTACTTGAAAAGTAACTAAATAAAATTTAATAAAAAAAATAAATGATTAATTATGTATTTCCATGACATATTACATATGTTGTATATTATATATACTACTACATAATAGTAGTATATATATTATATATAGAAAGAATATATATTATTTAGTTAGTACAGAAAGTAATCTATAATGCAACTAGGCCACAGATTCCTATGACACTGTAACACGGATGTCCCCAGTTTTAGGCCAGAAAATTGTGTGGTCCTTGGCTGACGTACAAACCCTGGAATCCAGTCAGCCTGGTCCTGGAAGTGAGCCAGCTTCAGGCCCAGCTTTAGTGTTGGGTACGTCCCAGGCCTGAGGCTTCTGGCCAAGTGACTCTGTTGAGCCATAGAGTTCTTAGAGTTTACCGACAAGGCATGGTAAACTCCTCCTTGGTGGATAGGGTTCCTGCTCTAGTCATGACCAGTCTAGTGTGCTCCCCAGCTGGCCAGGGTGGAATTTCGGCCTGCTCCTTACCCTTCTTCTGTAGCCTGCTGAGTGTGGGAGTACCAGTTACTGAAAATATAGCAGTCTGCCCAACACAGGTCCTGGAACCCATCACTTTCCACCTCCAAGTCTCTCCATTCCAAAGTACCTCTTCTTTGCCTTGGCCAGTGTGGCTCAGTTGGTTGGACATTGTTCTGCAAAGGGAAAGGTCACTGCTTCGATTCCTGGTCAGGGCACAAATCTGGGTTGCAGGTTGGGTCGGGGTGCATGCGAGAGGCAGCTAATCAATGTTTCTCTCCCTCTTTTCCCCTCTGTCTAAAATAAAGAAATAATTTTTTAAAAAGTACCTCTTCTTTGACACTGTTGTTCCCTAGTCCTCTCTTTTCATCATTTGCCACTCCCCCAGGTGCAAATCAGTGGGTGAGTTTCTGTCTGTGTCTTTGTTGCCCATGCCCCTCCCTTGATGCTTTCTCCGTCCTTGATTTCTGTGAACTTGCTCTTGTGATTCTCCTTATACTTTGGCTTTCTCGGTCTTCTGGATTTTTCTGCCTGCCTGTTAAATGTTGGTCTTCTCCAGGGCTCTGGCCTTGATTTTTTTCTCTCTTTCTCTCTCTTGATACTGTCTTTGGACATTCTCACCACCTTTCATGGCATCAGTTACACGTATATGCTGATGACTCACAAAATCTAGATCTGCCTATGTTTTTGTCCTGTGCCTAAAACTGTATATCTAACTGCCCACTCTACCTCCTCGCCTGATGTTCTACCTCAGATCCACCCTAACAAAGGCCAAACTCATCATTTCTTTAAAGCGGAAAATATTGCAGATCGGTTCACTCAGCTCCACTCCAGATCTTCTCTCATACCGTCCTATATGCTAGTGTCTATAAAGTTAGGGTACATATTCCAGTCCACACCCCAAAAAAACCTCTTAAGATTCTCAATGTGACTTAGCTTTGTCCAAGTAAAAGGGATGGAAGTAGAAGTTGTTGGATGGGGCTTCCAAGGAAAACCTTTTTTACTCTTATTTCTTCCTGCTTTTTGAAAAACAGGCTTGATCATTGGAGCACTGGCAGCCATTTAGGACTGGGAAGGAAAGGCCACAAGAATCGCAAAGCTTTTGCCATGCTATTCTGGGCTCTGGACCCCTGCCAGGACCAGACTTCTTTCACATGAGAACAAACTGTTGTGTTGAAGCCACTGCAGTCAGGTCTCTGTAACTATCAGCCCCACACAATTCCTTCTGTTTCCTCCTCCTGTGATGATGCCGCCTTTCATGCAGTGGCCCGAGGCAGAAGTCTGGGAGCTTGTCCTGTGTTCCTCTCACCCATCCCTGCACCACTTCAATCCCCGGCACACACCCACTCACCGCGTACTGTCAGTTCTACCTTCTAATCTCTTGGCTGCTGCCTCCCGCCCACCCCCGCTACACTACCATCGTTCCAGTTCCCATCATCGCTTGCTTGGGCTGTTGAAGTGGACTCTTTACCTGGTCTTTTGTCTTTGGTTTTACCCTCGTTCTGCCTGAATGATCTCAAACGCACATTATGCCAATCTCCTGCTTCAGATCTTTCAGTGACTCTTCATGACCCACAGCGGTGCCTCTCAAACATTTTTTAGACATTGAATCCTTTCTTCAGATGCAATTCATACCCAAAAGTGTAAATAAGCAGGATGCCACTCTGATTGGAGAAGATTTCAGCCCAACTCATTAAGGACTCCTTCCCTTCCCCTATCCAGTTTCATTTAGGGATCATTATTGCAGAGCACAACTTGAAAAAAAAAATCCTGGTTAGCAGGATAAAATCTAAGCCTGAAGGCTCTCTATGATCTAGCCTTGGCCTGCCTCTTTGTTCTTATTTCCTGGTATGCGCTTGATTTTTTTTTTTAAACAACTGAAAATCATTTGTCATCTCGTATAGTTTCTGCGGGTCAGGAATTCAGGAGCAGCTTAGGGGGATAGTTCTGGTCTCTCCTGAGGCTGTGGTTGAAAGATTGACGATGGGTGCCGTCATTTGAAGTTTTCATTGGTGCTTGGAGTTTCCACTTCCTCGGTGGCTCCCTGGCGTGATTGGCAGCTGAGTGCTAACATTTGGGGCAAAGCCTCAGTTCCTCACCACAGGGATCTTCCAGAGAGGGCAGCTTGAGCATCCTCATGACACAGCAGCTGGCTTCCCACAGTGTGAGTAATCTAAGTGAGAGCACGGCAGAAACTGCAGTGTCTTTTATGTCTAAGACTCAGAACTCAGACACTATGATTTCTGCAGTGTCCTATTGGTTCACACATCAGCCCAGTTCATTGTGGGAAGAAACTACAAGGGTAGCAATACCAGGGTGCAAAGGTCATTGGGGGCCAACCTAGAGGTTGTCTACCACAACCAGGAAGAACATTTGGTTTTGTTTTTGGCCTTCCCTATTGCATATATTCCTAGTGATGAAAGGTAAGAAAGACAACCAAGGACAATTAGTTTAAATATTTGGCTCATTAATCACTTTTTAATAATCATAGCACTTAAAAGCCTTGTCTCATTTACATTAGAGCCTCAATATATATCAAAAAGTTGAATTTTTTGAGAGCAAGAACCTGCCTTATACTTGATCAATTTTTATGAATTTGACAACATCCCATTCGTCATAGGTGCTTGAAGATCAACTCACTGAGAAATGTCCGGCCCCCTTTGATATTCCTGTGCTTTGAAAGCTCCAGCTTACAAGATTGGCTGCCTTTAGGGTTCTAGAAGTCAGTTACATGCTGACTCTTTTCCTTCAGGCTGAGGTTGAGTTTAGAATGCCAGTGGGAACCAGGTGGGGTACACAAAATGAAAAATATTGCTAGTGCCCTAGTCCAGTGATGTCAGCAAATGGGAGCACACGCAACATAAGTAATACTTGTCAGCAGAGGGGCAAAGTGTTAAAGATGGTGGGGATCATGGTGTAGCTCAGTGGATTGAGCACAGGCCTGCGAACCAGACAATCGCGGTTCGATTCCCAGTCAGGGCACATGCCTGGGTTGCAGACCAGTTCCCTGCAGGCCAGTTCCCAGCAGGGGACGCATGAAAGGCAACCATACATTGATGTTTCTCTCCCTCTCTCCTTCCCTTCCCCTCTAAAGATAAATAAATAAAATCTTAAAAAAAAAAAAAGATGGTGGGGATCAGCAGCATCGCAGTTATACCCCAAGCAGCACCACTGTATCTTTTCTCATTCTGGGGGTTGCTTTTTCACTTTCTTCACAGTATTCCTGGAAACACAAATGTTTTTTATTTTAATCAGGTGCCATTTATCTATTCTATGATTGCTTGTGTTTTATTTAGATTTTCTGTTTCTTTCTCTGTGAGTTTTGGTAGTTTGTGTCATCCTGTTCTAGGATTTGTCCATTTCATCTCAGTTATGTAATTAGTTGGTGTACAGTTGTTCATACTGTAATCTTGAAATCTTTTTGTCTTTGAGGTATGTAGTACTCCTTTCACCTTTTTTAAGGGCTAGTAACAGACTGTAATTCTCTGAATATTCTGTGCTGTTTTGCCTAAAACACCACATTCTATCAGGACTGGCAGCTTACACATCACCTCCTCAAGAAGCCTTCCATGCTTACCTCGGACAGATTGGCAGCTCCGACCTCTGTGTCCCCATTACACTGCGTGCATTCCTCTATTTAAGAACTTCCATGATTATATTTTTCCTCACTAAACTGAATTCTTAAAATAATTAATTCAACCATTATTTACTGCATGTCTATTTTGTTTCCAGTACTTTGTTCTGCTCTGGGGATAGAGCGGTGAGACAGACAGGCAAGGTCTCCACTGATTTCTTTATCTCATGGACCTTACAATGTAATGGGATGATGGAAAGATAGAGTAATTATGATTATGAAAGGTCATATGAATGAAACAAAGGGCTCATACCTAGAATCACATGAGAACCCCTTAGAAAAGGTGGTCAGAGAAAGCCTCTATGGGTAGGTGATACCTGAACTGAGACCAAAAAAGATGAGAATGGCACAGCTGTAGTGCATGGCAAGAAGAGCACTCCAGGCAGAGAGAAGGGCCTGTGTGAAAGGTGAGATGTGGGAAAGCACTGTTGCTTTAAAGAACAAAAGGAAGACTTGTGTGGCTAGTGCAATAGGAAGAGAGAGAGGGAATGTATGAGATGAGGCAGGGGCCTGATTATGGGCTCAGTTGCTGTCTGCTAGGCCATGGTAAGGAGTTGGGATTTTATTCTGGGTGTCTCGGGATGTCACTCTTTAATTTTTTTAAAAATCCTCACCCAGTGATTTTAGAGAGAGGAGAAGGGAGAGAGACAGAGAGAAACATCAAGGTAAGGGAGAAACATTGATCAGTTGCCTCCCACACCTGCCTCGACCAGCCCACGACCTAGGTACGTGCCCTGACTGGAATCAAACCCGTGACCTTTTGGTGTGTGGAACGATGCTCCAACCAACTGAGCCACCTGACCGGGGCAGGGAAGCCACTGTTGACTTTATTTACAGAATGATTTGGAGTGAGACAGTAGTGGAAGCAGATTCTAGAATAAGCAGTCAGAATTTTTATTTTAGATATGAATTTAGAGTAGGGAAGGCCTAACTGTCTGTCTGTCTGTCTCTGTCTCTCTCTCACTCTCATACACACACACATACAAACATACATACACACACTATCTCTTTGATCACACAAAAATCTAAAATTTCCACGTGGGGGGAAAAAATCAAAGACAAATACAAACTGGGGAAGAAATGTTTGCAAAGCCCCTTAACATTTGCACGTCTCCTTAATATACAATAAAAAGACGACTCAACAGACAAAGGGTAGGACCTGACAGTTCACCCCCCAAAAAAGAAAATACAAATGCCTATCAAGTATATGAAAAATGCCTTGTTTCATTCTTTTAAAACAAAGAATTACAAGTTACGAGATCACATTTTTCACATGCAAGATTGGCAGTAGTGTACTTTAATAACATACTGTGTTGACTGTGGGGACACAGGAAGTCTCACATTGGTGACGGGAGTGTGAATGGTTCAGCTTCTCTACAGAGTAATTTGGTGGTGTCTATCAGAATTTAAAGTGGATACACTTCTAGGAATTTATCCAACAAGTAAAAGACATTTGGTTCATCCATACAAAGGAATACAGTACAGACCTTATAAAGAATGAAGCAGTTCTTTATCAATGATGGGGAAGGATCACGTGTATATTTTTTAGGCAAGATACATTTTTAAAGATTTTATTCACTTTTAGAGAGAGGGGAAGGGAGGGAGAAAGAGAGGGAGAGAAACATCAATGTGTGGTTGATTCTCACGTGCCCCCTACTGGGGGACCCAGCCCACAACCCAGGCGTGTGCCCTGACTGCAGACCAAACTGGCAAGCCTTGGGTTCACAGGCTGGCACTCAGTCCACTGAGCCACACCAGCCAGGGCCCAAGATACATTTTTAACTGAACAAAGAGGTAGAGGATAGTATAAGGTATGCTACACTTGTCCAAAAAGCAAAAGAAAACTATTTTCTCTATGTGTCAATGAGGATTCTTTGTTTGTATCATCCACTATCTCTGAGAGCAATGGAAGAAACCAGAAACAGTATTTACTTCTGGGGAATAAAACTGGGTGGGTGGAGATTTACTTCTCATTTTATACTCTGTATAGACCATGTGCACATATTGTCTATTAAGAAATTTAGCCCTGGCTGGTGTAGTTCAGTGGATTGAGCATGGGCCTGTGAACCAAAGCATCACTGGTTCAATCCCCAGTCAGGGCACATACCTGGGTTGTGGGCCAGGTCCCCAGCAGCGGGGTGTGAGAGGCAACCACACATTGATGTTTCTTTCCCTCTCTCCTTCCCTTCCCCTCTCTCTAAAAATAAAAAAAAAGAAAGAAATTTAAATAGCCCTGGCTGCTCTGGCTCAATAGATTGAGCGCTGGCCTGTGAACCAAAGGGTCACTGATTCAATTCCCAGTCAGGGCACAGGCCCGGGTTGTGGGCCAGGTTCCCAGTGGGGGCCATGAGAGAGGCAACTGATCTTCACACATCATTTCTCTCTTCCTCTTTCTCTATCCCCCTCTCTCTAAAAATAAATAAATGCTTTTAAAAATATTTAAACCAATGTGTGGGGGAAGTGGGGAGACCAGTCAGAAAGCTGTGACCATAGTCCTGGGAACAGATACTGGTGGTCTGGGCTGAGGTGCTGAAAGAAAGGTGGAGAACTTGTTGGTTTAAGGGTTTTTTTTTTTTAATTTGGAGATAAAAGCCACAGGATTTGCACATGCAGGGGTGTGGGAGATAAGGGAAAGTGCAGAATCCAGGATGTGTCCCGGGTTTCTGTTAAGTAACTGGATGGGTGGAAGAGTTGGTTATCTAAGAAACTCCTAGATAAGGAGCACTCTAAGGCAGTGTTCTGTGAGCTGCTGCATCTGATAGCCTGGGCTTGAATTCAACCTATTCTAGTTCCTCATTGTGTGAGCTTGGGCAAATCATTTATTTGCTTTGTGCTTAGGAGCCCTCATCTGTAAAATGGGAGTGATGACATGACCTACCTCACAGGGTTGTTGTAACGATTAACAGAGTTAATACATGTACACTTTAGAACAATTGCTGGCACGTAGTAAAAGCTGTATAATCAGTTACCTCTATTGTTGTTGTTATTGTTGTTACTGCAACTAAGGTGGCTGCTAGGACTGTAATACTGCGCCTCCTCTTCCTTTGCCAGGGAGATGCCTGACCCCTGTTAGGGGCTTAGTCAGTGTTTGGGAGAGGGAACGGGTGCTTTAAAATGAATACGGGTTTAATAAGCAGTTGATCTAGCAGATGACAAATTTCGAAAGACACTTTTAGCGTTTGAAGAAATGAAATAGTGATGTTAGTAGGTTATGAGATTTGCTCATATCTTTTTGCTTTAACTTCTGTTGTTTTGGGTGCAGGCCTGAAGGCATCGAACGACAGTACAGGAAGAAGTGTGCAAAGTAAGTATGAACAGTGTGGGTTTCTCTGCACGTAAGCAACTAGAGGCAAGAATGTGTCAGGAATAGAATTATTTGGATACAATTCTCTGTTGTATCTTTTTTAAAAAAGATTTTATTTATTTAGTTTTAAACAGAGGGGAAGAGAGGGAGAAAGAGAGGGAAAGAAACATCAATCAGTTGCCTCTTGCATGCCCCCTACTGGGGACCTGGCCTGTAACTCAGGTACATGCCCTGACTGGGAATCAAACTGGTGACCCTTTGGTTCTCAGGCTGGTGCTCAAGTCACTGAGCCACACCAGCCAGGGCCTTTGTTGTATCTTTATCCTTATAATCTCTACACAAATAACAATATGCTTCTGGAAGAGACAAGTCAAAGTTAACATCTCTGACCAGCTGGCTAGAAAAATAGGGTTTTAAATATAGTATTAGTTTTGAAAGTCGAGGTGTAATTTATACGTAACTAAATTTGCCCTTCTTCGGTGTACCATTTGATGGGTCTTGACAAAAGCTTGCAGTCATGTAATAGCACCACTACCGTGATACAGAACATCCTTAGTACCCCATGAGCTCTTGGCGGTTACTCCCCTGCCTCACCCCCTCCCCTGGCAATCACTGATCTGCCTTCTGTTAACTGTGGTTTTGCCTTTTATAAAATTTTATGTAAGTTCTACAAAATGTGTTTTACTATATATTGTACAGCCTGAATCTGTTACATCTGGTTTCTTTCACTTAGCATAATGCTTTTGGGAATCATCCAAGTTATTGTGTGTATCAGTAATTTCTTCCTCCCTATTGCTGAGAAGCATACTGCTCCACCAGTTTGTTCAGCATTCACTCGTTGAAGGGCAGTTGAGTTGTTGATGGTTTTGGCTATTACAAATAGAGCTGCTATGAACATTCTGGTATAAATCTTGATGGGAACATGTGTTTTCTCTTGGAGTGAGGTTACTGGGTCATATGGTAAATGTAACATAGTGTAATTTAATCTAGGCCCACTTATAAAACCTGAAAGTTTATTTAATGCAATACACACACACACACATATTCTAGCTTTAGATTAATAGAATATTAAACAATAGTAAGTTTAATCTTGTTTCAATAATTAACAGTTACATCTTGGCTCTCAGAAGACTCAGAGAAGGAGGGGTAAAGCAGGGAGAGGGCCAAGAAGGTATTTTTAGTTCACAGCCACACTGGATTCATTAAATTGGTTTTATCTGATCTTACGAGTCTCCCGCATTTAGCTGAAAAAGTATAAGAATGACCAGCCAAAGAAAGTAGGACGATTACTACAGGAATTTGTGCGCCAACCACTGCAGCGGAGCCTTTACACTCCCTCTTAGCACTGTGGAAACAAAACAGAACGAGATGAAACCCGCAAACTAGTCACCCAGGCACCTGGGAAGAATGGCAGCAGTTTTGACCAGGAAGCAGTCAGTAGCAGGAGCCAGCATTTACCAAATCTGTCTGATGGTAAGAATCACTTGAGATGCTGAGGAAAATGACAGAGACTAAGGCTACCCGCCTCCGCCCCAGATTTGCTGAATCAGGACCTTCTGGGGGTGGGGCGAAGGCATCTGATCAGTAGTTTGAACAAGCACCCTCAGTGATTCTTACTGAGTAGTTTGGGGAGACATTGGAAGGAACACATCCTTAGTTTATGCCACACAGAAAAATATTCCTGGAATCTCAGCACATTTGACAAATCCCCGCTTAGGGGATCTACATTCTGAGACTTCCCAGTGACTCACGCTGCTGCTTCTCAGGTGTGGATTGCCACTCTTCTACCAGTCCCAGCCGAAGAATGCTCCTGTGACCTTCATTGTGGATGGAGCAGTAGTCAAGTTTGGGCAGGGTTTCGGAAAAACGAATATATATACTCAGAAGCAAGAGCCTCCTAAGAAGGTAATTGTCATTGAAAGAGACAGACTGGTTAATACACCTACAGATGTTGCCCTAAATTTTAAAATAAGATTATAGTGCATAAGAAACTGTCCTTTATGAATAAATACATTCTTTATTAAGAGAATGTCATTTTTATGTAATAATGTGTTGGTTTTTTCTTTCTTCCAGCTTCCCTATGAGTAAAGTTAGAAACTGTATTTTTTGAAGAGTTTACTTATTTTTATAGAGAAGGGAAGGGAGGGAGAAAGAGAGGGAGATAAACATCTATGTGTGGTTGCCTCTTACGCACCTGCTACTGGGGACCTGGCCCGCAACCCAGGAGTGTGCCCTGACTGGGAATGGAATGGGTAACCCTTTGGTTTGCAAGCCAGTGCTCAATCACTGAGCCACACCCACCAGGGCGGAAATGTATGGTTTTTATTCACATTTACTTCCTTTCAAATTTCTTCTTTTTCCAGATTTAAAATGGAATGAATCAGGCTAATTTTCAGATGTACTTTAAAAAACCTTAATGGACAATGTTAGGACAATCTAAAGCAAATAAAAGTATTAGCACTTTTAGATAGGCCAGCCTATCCCAAAGAGGTGGCTGTCCACCCCCAACGGCTACCTTTCCCAGCACCCAGGCATGTGCGCACCTGCTCACATGCACACAGGGCTCACAGAGCCTCTTGCTGTGTCTAGACTGATTCCTCCTCTTCTGCGACTCCAGGTGATGATGACCAAACGGACTAAAGACATGGGCAAGTTCAGCTCTGTCACTGTGTCAACTATTGATGAAGAGGAAGAGGAGATTGAGGCTGTAAGTGCTTCTGCTCTCAAGGGAATTGAACTGTGGGGGGGGGGAGTTGGTGTGAAAGGAACAAGGCTCTAGAATGAGAGCATCCAAGCAGCGGAATAATCAGAGACTGCTTGTAAACCTTGCTCTGCCGGTAAGAAACTATGAGACTGGCTAGTTCCTGTGTCCCCGAATCGCAGGACCATCTATAAAATGAGAACCAGGGAGTTTCACTTCATCAGTGCTATTTCTGTCACTCTGTGTTTTTGAGAGATCTTAGGGGTCAAATCCCTCATCCCTCTTTAGTTTAAATACTCCTGGGCTCAACGATTTCAGGTCCCTTCCTGTCTGGCTCTGATGGTTTATGAATCTGCCCTAAGCAGTAGCGGCAATTATGTTTATGGTTCTTCAGTATAATAATGTTGACAGAGCTGTTATCGGTTAGTTTTTAAACATTTTATTTATTTTTAGAGAAGGGAAGGGAGGAGAAAGAGAGGGAGAGAAACATCAATGTGTGGTTGCCTCTTGCATGCCTCTCACTGAGGACCTGGCCTGCAACCCAGGCATGTGCCCTGACTGGGAATGGAAATGGTGACCCTTTGGGTTGCAGTCCACACTCAGTCCACTGAGTCGCACTAGCCAGGGCTGTTATCTGTGACTTTTAAAATGATTTCAGTTGAAACCTGACCTCTCCTGGATTACTGAAAAGCTGCAGAGTTGAAAGGGAACAGCCCTGCCGTTTTAGTAATAATTTCATAATTTAACTGGTACAAATTGGTACTTACGGTCTCTGTTGTTACCCATTGGTGTGACTGCTGGTTTAATGACACTTCTTTTTTCCCCTCAGAGGGAAGTTGCTGACTCGTATGCACAGAATGCCAAAGTAATTGAAAAACAGTTGGAGCGCAAAGGCATGAGCAAAAGGCGGCTGCAAGAGCTGGTGAGTGGCATGTGGTAGCAAGGTGCTGGGCTGGACTGTTTGGATTGCTTGGTCTGAAAGATCCTCCAGTAGTCAGGGACATCTTTAGGACATCCATCAGGGGTTACCAGTATATTTAGCTGCCAGGTGTTTAGCCCTGGGCTGTGACTCTTGGCGTACCATGCTTTGGAGTAGTTACCACAGGATCCAGCCCCTAAATGATGGTACTTGTTAGCCAGTCCTAACTAGAATGCTATTTTCATCTGCTACTTTTGGTCAGGAGTTACAGATCAAAGTTTATGGGCTCTTTCCCAGGGTGTGATGGCACACCACGGTGCTCCATGGGTAGGCCCAGCACTGGGGCTGCTTGTTGCTCCTTAAAGCCCTGACTCCACCACCCGTTCCTGCATTTTTCATGGGCTCCTCATAGAGTGTGCACACCCATAGGTGATGGTGTCTACATGTTTGTTTTCTTGATAATAATTTACTTATGATATTTCTGTAAAATTAGACAGCATTTTGTTAGTGCCTTATTAAAAGCTATACCAATCTGCCCCAGTGACTGTGGAGGATTTTTCGGTGACAGCTGGTAGGTCTTGGGAGCCGCTTCACTTTGCCGTGGTGGTTTTTAGAGCAGTGCTTCTCAAGTTTTCTGAGGTGAAGGTTAGTGCTTTATTATTATTTTTTTAATTTCCAATTTGTAAGAGCAGATTTGTAATTTATCAAATACAATGAAATGGATTTGTCTCAGTTATTTTTATTAAATTATTTTATTTTATTATTACTCTGTCAAATGGCTGTAAAAGTCTCTGAATATTGACTGTCCATGTTTGTGTGGATTTTGCATGCACCAGTAAGAAGCAGGTCTTGGGCCACACAACTCTAAGTAGCGCTGTTCTAGAACAGTGTTTTTCTTCCTGTTGTACCAACAATAAGATACTGGTACACCGTGATATCAACTGATTATGTCAGCCCTCTGGGAGTCGTGGGGCTGGGGGATGCCTGTGCTGACCACCGTTGACCGCAGCCTTGTGCGTCATCATTTTCTGTGTGCCGTACCAGCAGAAAGGTCAGAAAGCAGTTGCTAGAGATTCATAAGGAGCGTAGAACTACTATTCTAGTTTGTATACTAAATGGGCATGGACGGAGAGTGTTTGGGCAGGTAGTGATAAAGAAGGAAAACAAGAATTTCATATCATGTATCATGACATACACCTTTTCTTCCTCCCCAGGCTGAACTGGAAGCCAAGAAGGCAAAAATGAAAGGGACTTTGATTGACAACCAGTTCAAATGATCAGGACCTTTCTCTGAACCCAGACTAGAGGCAAGCATTTAGGCCAGACGGCAAAAGACCTTGTTCTTGACGGCGTGCACTGCTTCCTACCTTTGCTCCCCAGCAGAAGGCTTTATGTTGCTCCTACATTCATTGAGGTCTTTGAGTCCATCTGACCTGCTTTCTAGAGTTGGGTTTTTTTAATCTTTCTATATATGGCTCTTCTGTACTGTTTTTTTTTTTTCATTTGATATAAACATTCTTAGCTGTATAGGAACTCTATGAATAGATCAGTGCTTAACTATCTCTAATTTTTAAAGTAGCTGGTCTTTAATAATATGTTCAAAGATTTTTGAAAAAAAATTATAAGTTGCCATAGAAAAAAGTGGCGTGTAATTAGATTTAAAAGCACAGCCAGTCAGATCCCTTGAGGTCTTGGCAGGTATCAGCTATGGTTTGAATCTCTTATTCTATCACAGAAAATCGATAAAAGTCAGACTCTGTATAAAGCTTCCTTTACTTCAAATATGAAAGCTGTAAGTGAGCCATCCCTTATCAGACTTTGCACTTAAAGAAGCAAAAGCCAGATTGCATGAGGGGTTAGGGTAGCTGAGATCTGAATGCAAATGGAGGACTTCTGGCCAAGATGGATGCGTAGGTGGAAACATTGTGCCTCCTCACACAACCAAGTTTAAAGACAACAAAGTTTTAGTAACAAAAACGCAACCAAAACACAGAAAATTGAACTGTATGGAAGTCCAACAACAATGAACCGTTCAGCCAGACCAGTAAGAGGGGCGGAGCCAGTAGCAGAGTGGGGTCGGGCAGGAAAAAGCAGCCGGACTGACCCAGGAGCCCAGGTGGCAACGGGTGGACCCACTGAGGGCGCAAGACGGCTGGCTGACTGCAGTCACACATTCGAGTGCAGATAAACCAAGCTAAGGAGCGAGCAGTGAGACAGACTGCTCAGGCTAGGGCCCCAGTGATAGGAATTAGAGCCTGAAAACACCAATTGGAAGGACTTTTGGGTCGAGGTGCCGGGAGAGGCTCCCAGGCTCACAGAGAGTTTGTTGGAGAGACCCACAGGATCTTGGAGGGTGCACAGGCCCACACACCCAGGAACCAACACCAGAAGGGCCCAATTTGCTTGGGGGAAGCAGCAGAGGGGACCAAAATCTGGCAGTGTGGAACTAGCGCCATTGCTCCTCTCTGACCCCACCTCCACATATAGTGTCACAATCCAGTGACTGGGTCGCCCCACCCTGGTGAACACTTAAGGCTCCGCCCCTCATATGTAACAGGCGGGAACAGACCAAAACATTATGGCTCAAGAACAGCTCCAGAACCAATACTTCTAAGCCACCAAAGGATAGCCAACCTACCAAATGCACAGTTCAAAACGCTGGTGATCAGGATGCTCACAGAACTGGTTGATTTTAGTCACAAATTAGAGGAACAAATGAAGGCTACATTAAGTGAAATGAAGGGAAATGCACAGGAAACCAATAGTGATGGAAAGGAAACTGGGACTTAAGTCAATGGAGTGGACCAGAAGGAAGAAAAAAAAGACCAAATAGAAAAGAATGAAGAAACAAGAATTCCAAAAAATGAGGAGAGGCTTAGGAACCTCCAGGACCTCTTTAAATGTTCTAACATCTCTGAATCATAGGGGTACCAGAAGGGGAAGAGGAAGAACAAGTGGAAACCTTATTTGAACAAATAATAAAGGAGAACTTCCCCATTCTGGCAAAGGAAATAGACTTCCAGGAAATCCAGGAAGCTCAGAGAGTCCCAAAGAAGTTGGACCCAAGAAGAAACACACCAAGGCACATCATAATTACATTAGCCAAGATGAAAATGAAGGAGAGAATCCTAGAAGCAGCAAGAGCTAAGGGGACAGTCACCTACAAAGGAGTTCCCATCAGACTGTCAGCAGATTTCTCAAAAGAGGCCAGAAGTGGCTGGAAAGAAGTATTCCAAGTCATGAAATCCAAAGACCTACATCCAAGATTGCTCTATCCAGCAAAGCTTTCATTTAGAATGGGAGGGCAGATGAAATGCTTTTCAGATAAGGTCAAATTCAAGGAGTTCATCATCACCAAGCCCTTATTATATGAAATGTTAAAGGGACTTACCTAAGAAAAAGAAGATGAAAAAGATGAACAGTGAAAGGACAGCAAAATCAGTTATTGACAACCACACCTAAAACAAAAGCAAACTAAGAGGACAGCTAGATCAGGAGCAGAACCATAGAAATGGAGAGCACATGGAGGGTTAGCAACAGGGGAGTGGGAGGAGGAGAAGGGGGGAGAAGGTACAGAGAATAAGCAGTATAGACAGTAGGTAGAAAATAGGGGAGAGGGCAAGAATAGTATGGGAAATATAGAATCTAAAGAACTTGTGACACATGGACATAAACTAAAGGGGGGAATGGTGGGGGAGGGAAATGAAGGGGGGAATAGGACAACTATAATGGCATAATCAATAAAATACATTTAAAAAATGGAATCTCAGTAAGCAACCCAGGGGAGCTACCATCCTGTCAAGTAGCTAAGAGTACTGCTGCCATGTGTGGGGGCAGTGGCATGTGGGAGGGAGAAATTATAGAGTGAGATTGATGCTGAGGTTGAAAACAGTATATGTTGGGTATTTTATTTCACATTTGCTATTTGTGGAATAATCTTATAGATATAAATATTTAATATTACACCGCTTCAGCAATATCAATATGTAGTGTTTGTATCCAGATTTCATCTGTTCACCCATATTACCAGGTATCGCCTGCATCTAGTCATATCTCTGCAACTGAGTCACCCACCTCAGTTTCTGTCCTCATTCTAAGAGATAATTAGGCATCACGTGCCTAATAACCAACAGTAACCTCTGCACAATTTCTTGACCTCAATTGCCAACAATGACCTTCACCTTCACGCCACTTTAGCCACAAAGTGCCATGCCCACAGGCTGGGTTTCATCTTAGCCGCCTCTGAAATACAGTGCTCTATTCTTTCCCCTCAGCCTGCTATCATTGCTAGTCTGGTACTCCCACTTCTGCTAAAACTGGTTTGTTTTTAGATTTGAAGGGTAATTATCTTGATTATTTTATTAGTAGTAATAATAAAAAATAGTACTAATGATACTAATACTAGCTATTTTTTATCGAGTACTTACTATGTGTCAGGTGCCATGGAAAGCACTCTTATGGGTATTACTTTAATTTAAACATGAAGATAATCTCATAAGAGAGGTTAAGTATAGTAGCTGTACTCCTTATCTGTCGGGGACATATTCCAAGATCCCCAGTGTATGTCTGCACTACACACACACACACACACACACACACACACACACACACACACACGCTATGTCTTTTCCTGTGCATACATACACTTTTTGGCTTGTATTTCCATATCCAAATTTTCATCATCACTACTCTCGTGTTTTGGGGCAATTAGTAAGTAAAATAAGGGTTACTTGAACATAAGCACTGTGATACCCTGCCAGTCGACGTGATAACTGAGACAGCTACAAAGAGACTGATAGGTGAGGAGTATTTACACTGTGGATAGACAAAGGGTTGGTTCACATCCCAGACATAAGATCATAGGGCACTACTCAGCACAGCATGCAATGTAAGACTTTTGAATTCTTTATTTCTGGAATTTTCCATTTAATATTTTCAGACTATGGTTGACCGTGGGTAACTGAAGCCACAGAAAGCAAAAGCACAGATAAAGGCTGGGGAGGGGGAGGGCTACTGTACTGTCCATCATTATAATGTTATAAATGTGTACTTTGAGGCCCTGAGAGTTTGAGTTTCCCAAGTTCCCATAGCCAGCAAGTGACAAAGCCAGAAATCCAACTATGCAAGTATGCTGAACTACTTCTCATGTGGGATTTAAAATGTAAATATGTTATTGAGAACAGATTGCCATTCATTTTGAGAAACCAAGTAAAGTGCAATGTAAAGACAATTGCAAGGAGACATGTGTTCTTCATTATGTTTTCTTCCTATTGAAATCGTTATTAAAATAACACGACATGGTTTCTCTGTTGTCTTTATTTGCTTGTATTTTGTATTTTGGCAGCAATTACAGTGCTTCATGTTAGTATAAAGACACATAGAAATTTCAGTCTTATTCTATTTTTTGGCTTTTAAATGACTGACTAATAAAATGTTATAAAATGTTTCTACTGACATTTGGGAGTATAATTTTATTGTTTAAGAGAAATTGAGAAGCTTTGAAAAAACTAGCTGGTGTCGACCACTAGCGTTGGACCACCTCCCTTTCTCAAGGAAAAATCTTCCCTTTTTTACTCCTCTGACATTTTATTCTACTTCCTCACCAGACTACTCCTCTTCTTTACTCAATTTTAACGAAGGACACTCCATTGTACTTAAGCTTTTAATATTCTATATTCCTTAAGGGAAATAAAAATATCACTGATGGTGAACTAAACCTGTTTTTAAGCTTCATTGAACCTTGATCCTGTTTTTCCCAGCATTGCAATTCCATCACCATCTCCCTTTTTAAAAAAGATTTATTTATTTATCTTTAGAGGGGAAGGGAAGGAGAGTGGGAGAGAAACATCAATGTGTGGTTGCCTCTCGTGTGTCCCCTGCTGGGAACTGGCCTGCAACTCAGGCATGTGCCCTGACTGGGAATCAAACCCATGGTCCTTTGGTTCTCAGGCCCACGCTCAATCCACTGAGCTACACCAGCCAGGCATCATCTCCCTTTTAACCCAGCTTTATCCTGTGATTGATGATCTGAAGTATCCTCACCAGCACCTTTAAGTCTTCTTACCTTGATTTTTTTCACTTAAAACAACCTTTGAATAATTTTAGATTTATAGAAAAGCTCCAAAGATAGTACAGCAAGTTCCTGTATATTCTTCACTCCAGTTCCCCTAACATTAACGTCTTATATAGTGCTATGGGCTGAATTGTACCCCCTTTCATAATTCATATGTTGAAGCCATAACCCCCACTGTAACAGTATTTGGTGACGGGCCTTTGGGAGTTGTTAGGTTTAGATGTGATGAGGGTGGTACCCTCATGACGGGAATAGCACCTTCATAAGAGGGCATTGTCTGTGTCCCTGTCTCTCCTTTTCTGTCTCTAGCTCTGTATGTCTGTGTCTCTCTGTGTCTGACTCTCTCAACCATTCTCTCTCTGCGTGTGTGTGTCTGTCTCTCTCTCTCTCTCAGAAGAGAGCTCTCACCAAATCAGCCAGCACCTTAATCTTGGACTCCCCAGTATCCAGAACTGTGAGAAATAGATGTCTATTGTTTGAGCCACCCAGTCTGTGGTACTTTGTTATAGCAGCCCTAGCAGACTAATATATGTATGGTAGGGCAAGAGGAAGTTTACAGTTGTTTATTTGGAAAATAATACTGAAATAAACAATAATACAAGAATAAACTTTTGTACACTCACAGCTATAAACCTACTTTTGCCTCACCCTGTAAAAAGCCGTATTATATTGGTCAAAACTAAGAAATGAACATTGGTACAATAACATTAAACTACAGACTTCATTTGGATTTCATCAGTTGATCTGCTATGTCCTCTTTCTGTTTCAGGATTCCATATTGCATTTAGCTGTCATGTCTCTTTAAGTCTTTTCTCATCTATGACAGTTTCCAAATAAGTGTGAGGTGATATTTTATGGTTTTGACACACATTTCTCTAACGATTAAGTGACATTGGGCAACTTTTTATATATTTGTTGTCCATTTGTATATTTTCTTTGGAGAAATGTCTATTCAAATCCTTTACCTATTTTTAATTGGGTTATTTGATTGTTTTATTGTGAACATATTTGCTAACTTTTGTATAACTTCTTTGTGAAGAGTTTGTTGAGATCTTTTGCCTTTAAACTTTAAAAAAAACTGATGTGTTGTAAGAACTCTACTCTGGTTATGTCTTTTATCACATATGTGATTTGCAACATCTCCCAGTCTGTGAGTTGTCTTTTTTATTCTCTTAATAGTGTGATACCTTTATGATGCCAGATTATGCAGATTTTCTTCTATCATATACTTTATAATTGGATATATAATTCACTTTAATTTTTGCAAAAGGTTGGAGGCATGTGTAAAGGTTCTTTTCTTGTATATAGATGTCCAGCTTTCCAGCAGTATTTGTTAAAAAGACTTTCTTTTCTCCATTCAGTTGCCTTTGTACCTTTGTCAAAAATCAGTTGACTGTATTTTGGGGCTTTTTCTTCTGTCTGTCGTCTATTTTTGCACAAATACCACACTATCTTGATTTAATTATTATACTTTATAATAAGTCTTTTTTAAAAGGTTTTATTTATTTTTAGAGAGAGGAAAAAGGAGGGAGAAAGAGAGGAAGAGAAACATCGATCAGTTATCTAATGCACGCCCCCAACCGGGCACCTGACCCATTACCCAGGCATGTGTCCTGACTGGGAATCAAACCAATGACCTGTTCGTTTGAGGAACGATGCCCAACCCAGTGAGCCATACCAGTCAGGGCTATAGTAAGTCTTGAAATGAGGTTGTATGAGTCTCCTAATTTTTTTCTTTGTAAGAATTTTTGGCTTATTCTAGTTCCTTTGACTTTCCATATAAATTTTAGAATCAGCTTATTGGTATCTCCAAAATTCTTGCTGGAATTGATTGGAATTTTGTAAAATCTAAAGATCAAGTTGTAGATAATTAACATGTTAATAAAATTGTGTCTTCTATCCCATGAATACACTATACCCCCATTTATTTAGATCTTTGATTGCTTTCATCAGTATCTTATACTTTTCAATGTACAGATCCTACAAATATTTTGCTTACATTTATACCTAAGTACTTCATTTTTTCTGCTGCTATTGTAAACCTTGCCTTACCCCTTTTTTTTATTGTGGTTTTCTTTTTAATTATTTATTTATTTATCTTTAGAGGGGAAGGGAAGGGGAGAGGGAGAGAAATGTCAGTGTATGGTTGCCTCTTATGAGTCCCCTGCTGGGAACTGGCCCCTCCTGGGAACTGGCCTGCAACCCAGGCATGTGCCCTGACGGGGAATCGAACCGCGATCTTTTGGTTCGCAGGCCTGTGCACAATCCACAGAGCTACACCAGCCAGGGCACCTTACCCCTTTTTAAACAAGGAAATAAACTCACGGTGTATTCTCAAACTCACTAGGCCTATTGTGATATGAACTCAAGCTGAAATTCCATCGATCTCCCCACCCCGAGCCCTAAGCTCCCAGTCTGATGTGTCACACAGCGGTATTCTGACTCTCCAGAGCCACTGTCTGGGTAGTGCCCCTTTCTAGTTGACAGAACTCTGGATAATGACTGCAGGACCTTTGGGAGAAAGTCATAAAGAAATTTTATGTTACATACTTACGGCAGCGTCAAGGGCATGCACTATTTCTTGATTCAAAGGTCTCTAGGTAAACCAGTTTGGAATTGCAACAGGTCTGGGAAGTGGGTGAGAGGCAGCAATGCTTTGTTATAGTGACAACAATTAGAGCGAGGTATACACAGGCCAGGTCTTAAATCTTTTTAAAATCTTTTTTTAAGTGATTCTTTTTATTTATTTATTTATTTATTTATTTATTTATTTATTTATTTATTTATTTATTTATCTTTAGAGGGGAAGGGAAGGAGAGAGGGAGAGAAATATCAATGTGTGGTTGCCTCTCATGCGTCCCCTGCTGGGAACTGGCCTGCAACCCAGGCATGTGCCCTGACTGGGAATTGAACTGTGATCGTTTGGTTCGCAAGCCTGCACTTAATCCACTGAGCTACACCAGTGAGGTAAAATCTTTTTTAAAAATTTATTCAAGTATGTAGGGTAATAATCTTCTGCCTGAATATTTTAAGCCGCTGGCAATCATTCCCAATTATTAAATATTTTGATCGACACCGACCTGATTCTATCACAGCAGCCATCCTTAATTGAAAAAAATAAAGCTCCCTATTTAGAATCAGTCCTACAATCTCCTTTCTCTGATCTTCTACCCAAGTGGATGAGTGTCCATATCTTGCAGATGAGTGGAGTTTGACATTGTGAATTTATGGTTCCAGTATCAGATGGGTTCTTCCTACAGCTAGTCAACCCTTTTACTATGTGTCAGCAAGTCTCCTGTTTCACTCAGAAACAACTTCGAGCCTTCACCCACCACTTTCTTCAAATCTCTCTGCCTACAAACTCTCTCTCAGTGGATGACTTTCCTCCCCAAAGTACCAAGAACATAGAGGCATGCTTATTTGTATCAGCTCCCATCCTTTTCTCCTTTCACTCTCACAGGAAGAAGTGGACCCTATTCCTGGTCAAAGTTAACCTGCTATCTTTTATTCAATTGACTGATACGTATTAAGTATTTATTATGTGCTAGATACAGCAGGTCCTTGAATAATGTTGTTTCGTTCAATGTCATTTGATTATAATTTTGATGAGAAAAAAATAGATTCCCAGCCAGGGCCACTGTCTGTGGAGTTTGCACATTCTCTCCAGGATGGTGTGGATTTGCTGTGGGTACTCTGGTTTCCTCCCTCATCCCAAAAATGTGCATGTGAGGTGAGTTGGCGTGTCTACCTTGTTCTGGTCTGAGAAAGAAGGACAAAGTTGGAGGTACCATGCTACCTGATGTCAAACTATACTAAAGGCTACAGTAATCAAAACAGCATTGTGCCCTGGCTGGTGTGGCTCAGTTGGTTGGGTGTTGTCCTGCAAAGCAAAACATCACCAGTTTGATTCCTGGTCAGAACATATGCCTGGGTTGTGGGTTCAAGGAACCGATTCCTGGTCAAGGAACCGATCAGTGTTTCTCACATTGATGCTTCTCTTCCTCTCCTTCTCCCTCCCTTCCTCACTCTCTAAAAATAAATAAATATAATGTTTTTTAAAGAAAGTTTGAAGATTTGGAGAAAAGAAATAACACTGCCATCTTTGTAAAAAAACACTAATGTGTGGGCCTAAGAACCAGACAATCGCGGTTCGATTCCCAGTCAGGGCACATGCCTGGGTTGCAGGCAGGTTCCCTGCAGGCCAGTTCCCAGCAGGGGATGCACAAAAGGCAACCATACATTGATGTTTCTCTCCCTCTCTCCTTCCCCTCTAAAGATAAATAAATGAAATCTTTTCAAAAAAGAAGCATAATTTGAAGGTACAAAATATACAGGGGGGTGTAGTATAGGCCATGGAGAAGCCAAATAACTTATATGCATGAC